TCAATATCATGCCTGATAAAATCTTGGGACCAAAGGAAATCCTTCCATAGAAAAACGCTATTTTGTTTCATACGGTTGTCCTATTTCCTTCGCAGTACATTAGTTCCAATTTACGGTAGCCCTAGTGGTAAGGGAGTTTTAACCACGTTTGAAGAGCTTTTGCCGAAAAATGATTCGATTCTTGCTTAGTTTAGACCCCTGCCATGTCTCTCTAACTCATCTGGCGTCTTTGCTTTGGTACAAGTGGGGGCAAAATTTAGAAAATCTCGGTCCGTTTCATGTTTGACTTCACGAAAATGAGCGCCAGGGCATTCATTCCCCCGAGGTGCCGATAAACAGTGGGCAGGCATCACGAACAAATGGTCGGTTTGCAACAACCTCACTCAATTTTTTACCGGACGTCTGCCTGTGTGCCTACTTGTTGTACAAGCTGAAACAAACGTTTGTCATGCCAAACGACGTCTTGTTCTTTTACAGTATGTTATTATTGCTAACTCAGGCAGTACTGATGAACAGTGGTATGTGTGTAAAATGATTTGCTTCCGGTGTGTGAGGGAACGGACGGGACCATACCGGGGTACCTGCGCACATACGCGAACATAAAACAACAACAACAACAACAGCAACAGAAGCAACAACAATAACAACACTGTTTCATGGGGTTCATTTCTAAAGCTGTATATCATGTTGACGGAAATTCATTTTCTCTTCCTTCGCTCATTCGCTCGCAAGTCATGTGTGCCCCGAGGATGAGCGATAGAGTGATACGCTGAATTCCTGGGGATCCCTCCTCCATCATTGAGGTTGAGGATGTGAATGCGATGCAGCAGATGATTGTTTCCAGTGATCTATTCGAATACTGAATCAACCCTCATACGAGTCGGGAGCATCCTCTCGATCTGGCACACGCACATACATGGAAAACAAAAATACATACACCGCTCCCGCGAAACGGTATTTCAAATTATATCGTTTGATGCTCCCACTTTACGGACGTCATACACTTCCCTGTATGGGTATGTCTCTTTCTCCATCGTGCAGTGAGAAACACGGCCCCAGTTGTTTGACACAGATCCGATCATCACTGGATAGTCAGCAAGACGCAGTGAATTATTGTAGCGAAAGGGAGTCGAAAAACGACTGATTTAGAGCTTCCCTGGTACTGACATGTCAGAAAAGTAATGAACATATAGATACACATGAGTTGGTTGAAAGCATGTAGAAGAAGTTTTTTAGTAAAGAGGGGTACATCTATTTTCAATTTCCAATCAGATATTTGTTTAGAAATGGTGAATTGAATCCTCTGTTTCCGCTTTAAACACTTGAATATAATCACCTTGATTTAACTCTAATCCTTATCATTGATGTTGCTTTCCACTTTGATCTGCGGTTGTGCGTGGTATCTACACTACCAACTAACTGACAACGTGTGCGAAAAATACAATTTTAAAACCAATGACTTCAGGCTCGGCTTCATGTAGAGAATCAACTATGTGATCCAGTATAACGGGGCTGATAACAATGATAACATTTTACTATTAATTATCAAATACAAAGCTATAAAGTCAGATTTCATGAACTGTGAAGCGGTCGAGCATAAATATCTGACAGTTTATATATATATATATACAGATGGATACGTTAAGTGGTAACAATGGTTTAATTTGAATATACGGCAATCTTTCACTACATAGTGAGTTCTACACGGAGCTAGGTTGTCCGGGAGCAGCACGGTCCCAGAACCACGAAATTTGTCGAAAGTACGGGGAAGCCAAATTTGGGACGCCATCACACACTGACACATTGATTACAGATAGAGCTCGTTCGACAACATCGTTTGTACGATCATTTGGTTCTTGTTTGAAAGCAAGGATCAGGATAAGCAGTGGAAATATTCTTCTCTTGATAAGATCTCCTTTGACATCGTTCAGCATTATAAAAATCATATTTATTTGTCATGTAAAATATTCCATATGAAACTTCGAGACGCAAACAGAAAATACAAGTATCGTTTAGAAACTGTTGCAGATATCCGTGGAGTGATTTTTGTGTCCCAAATTGTTCATAATTCATGCAAAATTGGAAAATATGTAGTCAGGTACCTGAGTTCCCTTTGTGTCACTGTTACGGTACAGAATCATTCTAGAAAAAGCGATATTTTAAACAATAATTTTTACCTTATAATCCACTTAAACGGAGCAAGGCATAAAGTCAGCTGAAATGATTGAGGTTCAATGTAATGCTGTTTTGGCTCCATTCGGTTTCTTTAGCATTAAGAATCCATCGACCGAATGGACGATCAAACTGGGACCTCACAGGTGGCATGCGAGCGTACTTGATCAACCGGGCAATCGACCGATACGCGACGTAGTACAACGCTTCTTTGCACACACACTTGATGTAGGCACCTAATCTCGCTCATTTCAGAACTAGATTCCAGGGCTTATGACTCCGTGGGAACTATTATGAATCTGTGACTAGTGAGAGCCATCCTAATGACACCGTTACACAATTTAACTCATTGTTTATTTGTCCTTGAGTTGACAATCTGTGGTCTGTGAATTGTGGTAAACTTCCTCGATTGCTTTTTTTGTGATAGATACATTGATATCCTTCATCCACGTTCGTTGCACCAATACGTTTGGGTCCCAATCATTTTAATTTTTTCTTTTATCAAAATTGTATGGATCTCAAGTCAAATCAGTGGGACAGTTCTCAACCAATTCATTTTCTTTCTCCCAGTACTCACGTCTGCGATTGAGACAGTATAATAACAGCCTATAATAAATGTGGTGCTGAATTCCCTAATCAAACTTATCTTCAACTTCGTCTTGCAGAAGCGGTATTTTGAAGGAGGAGTGACAAATCAACGTTGAATGAATTAGGCTGATTCGGAATAAAAACTGATAAACTGTACAGTCATTGAAAATAAGTTTATTCAAAATGGTGCCGTCGTTATCTTTGGTTACAGCGTCGGTAAAATCCAATATATTGTATCCTCCGTTTACTAAGTTTCCTAGAGCAAGTGTAGTCCCACAAACATTTGTGTACTGTTCTACATTCCTAACTCAGATGAAATCGCATAACGCTGCATGCATATACAATTACCACAATCTGAGTGAAGCTACCATGCTAACGGAATAATTTCAAAGTAGTCCGAGGTGATCCAATGTGATCTGCCTCCCGGATGAAATAATCATCAGGAAAGGAAACAGTGGTTGATCCAGACGTTTGATATTCATTCTACGAGCCGACACTGAAACCTTCAGAACAACTAAATAAATGAAACGAAGGAATGCATTCTCGTAATGACTATTTCAAATAATAAGTCACTCGCCTTCCATATAATTGTATATTCGTTTATATGCGCATTACTAATAAAGTTTTTTCGGTGATCTACCAACTCATCCGTCGAGGACAACACGTTTTGGAACCAAACTTTTGGCAAACATATTACGTAGCTACTGTATTTTACAAAGCAATCAAACATTACAAATAACTTTATAGGCGGGAGTTTTGAGCTAGTTAAGTGTACTTAAGGATGTGCAACAATCGGAAAGTTCAATGGCGGTGGCCACAAAGAAGATATTCAAAAATACAAACGCTAGACAAAGATGGCGGTGACTTTCATAACTACAGCACTCATCCCCTTACTAGTAAGTATTATAGACACACTATAAACAGTTCGTTTTATCAAATCAAAATTTTATATACTTACCACGGATTTTGATCGATTTTGACCCTGTGTCAAGACACTTATCAACGACATATATTAACCTTGGATACCGTTATTGTCTTTCGGAGAGTTTCACTCTAACCCTTTCTGCTTCTCATGCAATGTATTACTCGCTTTTTCCGGTTTTCTTTTCTTTGAGATTGCAATTTTCGGAGTATTGAGTAGAATGCAAACCATGCATGATGCTTACTCGTGGGTCTCTGTTCAACGTTCTGAATATTACGCAGATTATCCTACTCAACCTTGTCTTGCATCACTTAAGGACTGAATCGACTTGTCTATATGCATTCCTTATTTGAGTAGGTTACTGGAAGTTTGGATAGATGCAAACCTGTCCACAGTCCTGGTAACCTCACTTGGTACTCAGTTATTCAGTTTTCATAGACCATACTCCAACAGACCACTTCAGGTTAAAGGAAAATTATTGAAGCAGTTGGAGAAAGCAAAAAGAGCTTGCTGGGACAGTTTACCGAAATATATGTATGAACTTGTCTTCTTTTCCATAGTGTACGCTAAATTATCGTTCAACTGGATTATGGATAGTGCGATAGCAACCGAGTAAAACCGGCACGACAACAACACACAAATAGTCTACTCATAGTGCAGGCGAGACCCACTCTAAAAACTCTTGAATTAACCGCATTTACTGTTACAGTCTTTCAAATTTCCTATGGCAGATATAACAGGGCATTTGGGGAGAGGATTACAGTAAAATAGTATTATTTTTATCAACTGTTCGCGTGAATAATACCCAAATAAAAACATATTGCACATACAATACAATTTTCCGGCTTTCATGAATGTTACCAAACAGAAAAATCAACTGATAGAAGTGCTCAAGTGCATCGTTTAACCACGCTGTTGAAATTGTAAGCATCTTATCATCATGTATTCTTGATTGACAATCAGGTGACGTACGTTTTTCCCACATTGTATCGGTATGACTCCAGCAAGCATATTAGAGATGAAACTCTATCATGAACGACCTCCCCAAGACCATTTATGTAACTGCGTTCAGATCCCACAGTTTTCGCATTTCAATCATATTGAATGCTTGCAGATTATCTAAAGGAAACAAAGAACGATCACTATTTGTTTACAACGCAATTGTCATGGTCAGTGCATAGGATTACTTAAACTAAATAAGGGGCGAAAATTTCTTCCCAGTAGCATACAAATGATCAGGCAAACTTTCAATTTATTCCTTTGTCTAAGATGACTATATCACAATCAATCAATTCTTTAATTTGTATTCATCTCTCAGAAAACAGCCGAGAGCCTCGAGAACATAACTGGAATGAAGCGTGTTCATCTGCACAACTCGCGGTGGATTCCGAACCGGGTTTGAAACCAGAACAAGATGCAGTCGACAGTCTGATCAATTCACAATTACCTGAAACTAAGTCAAATGACCATGACCTCTCAACCTATCCGCGTTCGGTAGACACCATTCAAGAGGGCAGTAATTTTGTCCCGGTCAGTTTGTCTAAAGAGCAGTATCATTTGCTTACGAGAACGGTGGACACGAGGAGAAGAAATCTGCCTTGTGAATTCCAAAGTCACGAAACACCGCTGAATATGGACCCCCCGGTAAGTAACCCGAGGGATTTCTATCATGTTAGATGACTGTTCGGTTGAGACACTGGACGAAAGTTTATATTTTTGTAAAATCATCCACCTAACGTTATTTTCTGATCTTCGTACAAATTGTACGGTAATCGTTCAAGGTGAAAATTCAAATTTAAAACATTAGTTTCATGCTTTTTAAAAATTTGTATAAACTCTGAAAGAAGCTAAATACACAATGGAGGTCTGATTGGTTAACAAAGGCTTTTCGAATGCAAGGGCATTTTATAGTGGAACCCGAAATTGATGGTATCTTCCGGTTTCATGATATGCGACTAAGAAGAGAAGAAGATGCGATCCGTATTCCACAAACCAATATAGATAGATCAGCATCTAGATTTATAACCCCTACTACATGGCTCTTGTTTTTACTCTGCGCAAACGATCATGGGAAACTTTGAACAGTATTCACCAAGCAATTTCAGTCTACTCTTCATAAAAAACAATTATACATTCGTTATTGATTGATTGATTGATTGGTTAGAACTGACCATCCTTCAGAGTTCACCTTCAAGCAGATTCCTCAGCTCTTCCAGTCAACCATACACTCGGAAAAAATAGACCCAAGTTTCGCTTTTATAAGAGCTCATCAGTAGTGCGTATCCCCCGTCCCGTCCCACAACACTACTTACAAGTATTTGTGAGGTAAAGGCAAATTATCCTTTAGGTGTTTGTTAACGTAGGTCTTCTTCACTGTTTCACGCAAATTGAATAAAGATGGCACACCTCTCAAACGGGGAATTAACCTAAGGACCCACAGGACTGTCTGTGAGATTTACGAACACGTTCCTTAGAAACGACCACTGTGATATATCAAAGTGTTGAACCGCATCATCCCACGTCATGTATTAGTCTGCAATACACGAAGCCATTCAGGAAAAATAAGAACACTTTCACTGCATGTATGACAGCAGTCCTTTTGATTGATCTTGCCAGTAAACATTGAGTAGAAATCACCATATTTTAACCATACGTAATTATGTTTACATTTTAAATCGACACAATTTGTTTATATCTACTTGTTAAACTAGGTAAGGTAGTTACAAAGGTTTTAGCACAAGGAGAGTATCAAAGCTTGTGAAATCGCGGTTTGGTTTCACACAGTTTGGTGAACAAATTGCACAATCAGTAACGTATTCAATGGAAATTTCAAATGGTTCTGATAACTTGATGCCAGTAAAGGCTTCCTTTATCCAACGGGAACTAAATCTGTCAACCTGAATGCAACTTTTTAATCTGTCCAGGGCATTGAACAATTTGGTCCCTCTGAAAGGAATCGGCTAGCGAAGGAAGTGTCTTTCCGTGGTGGTGATGAGCTGCATCGTAGTTTATTTCATTTCAATCCTGAACATTCCATTTTCCCTAGACAGTCTTTCTATGGCCATATACCCTTTCCTGAAAGTTTATGGAATATGTCCATAATTAACAAACAAAAAAGCGAAGTGAAAACATTGATTCACTATATTACAACGATCGCATGTAAAGAAGCAATGCAAATAGACTGCGAAGCAGTGACTAGTCTTTCAAGTGCAATCCGCGACGGGTTGATTTCGACGAAATTACCACCCCTACTATTATCTCGTCCTATTTCCCTCTTTTCCTCATTGTCTTAGTAAAAAGTGACCAACTTATTTCAGCTGCTATCGTCTGTGCAAATGACTTTGCAAGCACCAGGTTACTATCCTATCCTGCCTCTTTTACACCCAGAGTAGGACGATGTGTTGCATGTGGCGATCTTTTCGCCACCATCTTCTCGTTTCGTTGTCTATCTATCTATCGTTTGGGTTGTACGCGAATCCATTCACATATGTCTCCGTTGAATTTTCAACTTCAAGTGGTTGCAACACAAATTGGAGTGTTTACTTTCAAACCACTCGAAATCAAGCCAAACGTTCTGTCCAACAATGCGTCAGTCGATCGATTGATAACGCCACCCGCCGCTTCCACCCTCTCTCCCTATCTCTCTCCATGTGTTCCTATGCTCGCCTGCCTCCTTGCTAAACTTTTGACCCCCACCTCTCAATACACTTCACACGTCCTCATCCATTTCGCTCCGCCCTATCCAGTTCTAAGTGATTTGATCATCGGGATGCAGAATTCGCATCATTAGTGTCCAACATTTTACGAAACCTCACCCTCCAGACTAGGGGTCTGCACTCCAGCCATTAAAATGGGACACGATATAGATCAAATCTGAATAGGCCCGGATTTTTCACCGACGTCGAGCCATTCGGACTGGAAGTGTGCCGGAACGATTTATCAGGTCCGCAAAACGTATTTGGGGATTTTCTGTCGCTTAACAGCCAAGAGCATGCCTTTTAGGTAAATTTTCCAAAAGGACGCGGACATGGACAGATAGAAATAAAACCTACTATGCATCATTGTGCAAACATGGAACAAGTTATTTCCCGTCTATTGAACATTATCTGCAGTATTGATTCATCTCTCGATAACTGATGCAACTAAAGACTAACCACAAAATATATTTCATCGTTTCAAGTGTTCTAGCAGATGAGTCGCGAAAATGCAAAATCTGAATCGCCTTCATTTAGTTGATAGAGCCAAACGATTTCCAAGATAGCGTACAAGTTGCCCTGCCCTGTCAAGAACTCCTCTAAGACACACAATGTCTTTCAATCGTTAAAAAGAACAGTAGGTAGTTGTCGACATCAACTGCTACGCCTTGGTCGTTTATTTGGATTTCTGACTGTCAAGATCAGTTTCTTGATTCGAACTATTCAAATGGTGGCCAAGTGGTTTAAAATTTCCCAATGGTCGTGTATTCGAATCCCCGCAATTCCAGAAACAGTTGTGGATTGGCCAAATCTTCATTGTTCGAAATAATTGTACAATTGCATACACAATTAATAAAAAGAAATAAATATGTTATTATTCTTATCTTCATGGCCAATCATTTAAAACAGGAGGAGTAATACATTGAACTCAGACGGTTTCACCGTCAAATCCTGCATAGTGCTAGAATGTTCTCAAGTGTCACTCGTCACTGATTGCCGAATGTGGCAAATCACTCATGAATGTATTTTTTATAATCAATTCATACGAGAACATATTCAAGAAAACAGATAATGAGACTGTTCGAAAATTGCAAACATTCTAAGGAGCTTGTGACACGAGTCAATAACTCGATATAAGTGGGTCATCTGGAAGGTAGGAAAAAGGGTTGAAACTCATGATCCAACGTTACAAGTAAATGGGATCATCGGTGGCCTAGATTAACTGCTGATGGCTTGCTACACAGCCGTTTATTGATCATTGGTTGATCATGAGACCAAGGTAAACCCGACTTTAGTGGTCATCAAGATGCCATCATCCATTGCCATATTCTTCAGCATTTAAAATCCTAAGTGTATTTGGTCACAATGAATTCACTTGTAAACGATTTTCTTATATATATATATCCTCCTTACTTTGTTTCCGGTGAGTTAACAAAAACTTGATGTAAGTTCACTGATGTAATCGTCTGTAACAGAACTGAAAGTTCCTCACTAATCAAATTATGATTTTCTACCAAAAAACAACTTTTATGTGCCTCCTCATTAACTTGCGATAGGCTCGGTTGAAACCCTTTTGTTCCATCGGGGTTCTAATGCTCTAATAAGCTATTTAACCGTAACAAGTCCGAACGGTGTCACACGCACCAGAGTCCAGACGAGGTTCCTCGAAAACATAAACGTCAAAATATCCGTCGGGTATTCAGACATCACAAGCGAAAACATCTGCCGACCAACTGGAGACATGTGGTGCTGCTTTTCATTGTCAACAGTTCAACTTGGCAAGGCTGGGTGTGAGTAATTGCATCCACCTTTTCATGGGAATTCATACGTCTTCCGTCCCACTTTGTTCAACCCCCAACCCCACCCCCCACCCCCTAATCAACGCCAAGCTCCTGCACGAACTCAGTTCGGTCAGGGTGAGAGAGGGAGCAACTGTTGTGCATTTGATGCACACTGGATGACCCTATTCCGTGTAATGCCTTTGGAGTGACAGTTGTCATTGTGACAGGTATATCACACACACAAACACACTGGTGGTAATGTCTCACTTCGTGAACTATCTGATCAGAGCCGGACGTACTGGGGAGGTTTTGCACCAAATGTCAGAATGGGTTAAGGCTCAAGCTGACATGCGCAAAACACGATAGGCGCGGGACGTAGTCACTACGCTGTCCAGTGATCGGACATAGATGATAAGCACCAGCAAACCCGCATTTTGGTTTGACGGGCTATGAAACTGGGCACGCCGTAAAGACCACAGTTTCACAGGAACTTGGAAATAGTGACGACTGAGGATGAAAATAAATGTAACAACAGAGACCTAGGATAGAACAGCGACAACTGCCCATAATTCTCATTCTCAATGACCACAGTTCTAATGGATTGGTCAAGATTGAAGAGTATATTGGAGAAATTTGTTAACAACGATACTCTTCACCAAGAAGCCGGAAAACAGTATATAGACATTTCGGTCTACTTCAAAATCAAACGCATAGATCCTTTGAGGACTTTACGGAGAGAAGGCCGACAACTGAGTTAAACAGCAATTGGTCTACTTGATCTAAACACCTCGTTGCATTAATAAAGACAGTGTTACCGACAGAAAGCTCTCTATTTTATTCCGATTTTTTCATTACACTCCTCAGTGTGATGGACAGTAGACGGGGTGGAACCATAGTCACAAAAACCTGCTGTTCAGCGATGGAAACCTAGACCCCGGTACTTAGATTGGAGAACCACCTAAGGTCCCTCTAGGTTAGATGTGGCATTGAACCGGACGACAGCAAAGCTGCCTACCGACAAAGTTGGATGGCGGCAGCGGGGCTTGAACTTCGGACCATAGATTTCAACCCATGTCGGTGTCAGCGACTTAACCACAGCACGGCCAGAACGGCAAACGGAATGGATTGAATGAGAAATCCAACTGCGCAGTATCCACGGGAAACGTTA